ACTTGGTGTTTACTTTGAGTAGGCATGCACAGGATGCAGTGGTAAGTGTACCAACAGAATGACTTTGAATCAACCTGAACCATGATCTCTGTAGCATTCATTATGCAAGAACTGTTGTGCTCCTCTTGCAACAGAATTAACTTCACCATGAGGAGAGCATATGTTTAATTTATCAGCTCTATTCAGATACTTTATTTTATATTTATCTCAGGAAGTGAATTGGTGTGTGAGTAACAGAAGCATTGTGTTAGGCTTGAAAAACCCATTTTGAATAAGATAAATAGTACCACAAAATTGTGGTTTGGTAACTGCAAATATATTATTTTTAGCTTCTTGGGGAGGAAAAGAGACCCATACACAGCAAAGAATAAGTGCAACACATTTGGGGCAGATGTGCTTTAAATGTATGGTGTAGACAGGATCAGGATACATAGCACACGGTTGGGGAAATTTACTCAAACTCTGCCAAAATGTAAAGTCCAACAAATTCCTCAATTGCCTCTCTGACAATTTCATTTCCCAGAAGGTGGAAGAAACAATAAGGGGGTCATATCTCTTGAATCTGGTCCTCACCAACAGGGAGGAACTGATCAGTGGAGGACTTTGGGCTCTCAAATTTCAGTGGTGCCCTGCATGACACTAAAATTCGGCATCCTCCTGGCATTGTTGTGGTGCCCTCTGCAGCACAGCGCCCAGTGCCACCGCACTAGTCGTGCTAACCTAAAACCACCTCTGAACTGATTGATGAAGTGAAACTAACCTTGGAAGGAAGTGATCATGTCCTCTTGGGTTTCATTATACACAGGCAAAGGAAAGCTAAGTGAAGTTGGACATGTACTCTGGACTTTAAGAAGGCTGATTTCAAAAAGCTTAAGGAACTACTGTGTGGAGTCCCATGGCCAGAAATACTCAAAGAGAAGGGAGTCCAAGATAGATGGGAATTTTGTAAATGTGAGATATTGATGGTAAAAATGCAGACAATTCCAATGAGAAAGAAAAGTGGGAGGCACCTAAAGAAACTGGTGTGGCTGCATAAGGAGCTAAGGAAGGATGTTGACAAGCTGGAACATATGCAAAGGAGGGCGACCAAGATAATCAAGGGTCTAGAAGCCAAGCTTTATGAGGAATGGTTGAAGGAGCTGGGTATGTTGAGCCTGGAAAGAGGGGACTCAGAGGAGATATGATAGCCATCTTCAAATATTTGAAGGGCTGTCACATGGAAGATGGAACAAGCTTGTTTTCACCTGCTTTGGAGGGTAGGACTCGAACCAATGGCTTCCAAGTTAAATGAGATTCTGAATAAACATCAGGAAAAACTTTCTGAGCTGTTTGACAGTGGAACAGTCTCCTCCAGGAGGTAGTGGACTCTCCTTCCTTGGAGGTTTTTAAGCAGAGGTTGGACGGCCATTTGTCATGGATGCTTTAGCTGAGATTCCTGCATAGCAGGAGGTTGAACTAGAAGACGCTTGGGGTCGCTTCCAATTCTAAGAGTCTACGACTGGGGATATTTACAGTACTATTTCTTTACTGAAGGCCAGGGTAAGGGAGTCCTGTTTGATATATATATTCCCTGCAGCCAAGTAAAACATTTTGGAGTCTTCTATTCGGTCAAGGGAGAAAATTCTATTTGGATCAAAGAGAAGGTTCACTGCTTAGGTACATGGGCTAAAAAATAGTTTCCACATTGCATAAACTGTAATGCTAAGTAATAGAAACAAAGACACATATATTCAACTCCGCTGTTGAACATATACACTTGAAGAACTGGATATTGGAGAGGGAAAGCAATTTAGTGTTATAACTCTATTTTTGCAAGTACTTCTACCCTTGAAATGTGCCAGCTTAAATATAGGTGATATCAGTTCATACAAAAAGTCTATACAACTGAGGTGGGGAACCTTTTTTTCTGTTGAGGGCTACATGGATCAGGCAGAAGGCCCACCTAGTCCAGCTTCCTGCTCTCACATTCCTGTTTCTCATTGGAAGCCCCCAGACACCTACCCACACACACAAAAAAGAGAGAGAGGCTGTGACAGAAGTACTGTAAAATACCCACTCGTTTTATTTTATATATTCGAAGGCTCTGCAAGCAGGTAACAACAATTTAGATTGTGTGGGATTCTATAAATCTGAGGCATAGGATCATATACCTACACCTCAAATTTTGGGGGTGAGCTTCCATGGCTTAGGACCTCCCTGCCCATTAACTCAGATCCCCACTCTGAAGCCTTGTGGCACTGACAAGAAGGCATGAGGAAGCACACCTTCATCAAGCAGAAAGCTCTTTACCCCTGTTTTTATCCAGCCCTGCATGACATTAACCAAGAGCGAAATGGAGGCCCCAGTGCCCCATCCCGCCAAAGTCTGTGCAGCGCAGATGGAGGGGGGAACCTAAGGAACAAAAATTCCTACAAGGTTCCAAATGAAACTGGTAACCCATAAAACCCACATTGCCCTGACAGTGGGCAAATAAGGACAAGCCAACACATGAAGTGGGCAGCAAAGCAATGTCCTCCCAAGCCAAAACAAGGCTTTGGAGCCATCCCTGAACTTGTGCCAGGTGCAAAAGGTGCAGAGCCTCAGTCACGAGCCTTGCCAAAGCAAAGTGTCAGTGGAGGCAATGGGAGACATCAACATCCAGCAAAGGAACTAGCAACTCTTGTGACTGCACAAGCCATGGAGGCCATGAAGTGCAAGGGGATGGGAACTAGAATGGTTTCATTCTGGTTGGGCCAGGCTCAATAACATGCATTGAAGAAATTGGGGTGGTTTTAGGTCCACCTGAAGAGAACTGCAATGGTGTCCCCAAACTACCACACTTCAAGCACTGACTGTGCAACAGGGAGACCCAAGTAGTGCAGCGGCTGTTTGAAGTAACAAAAGCTGGCAATGGAATACATATTAAAACCAGCAATTATTTGGCTTCAAAGCTGGGCTAAAAAGTGCCAGTGACTCACTAGACTCACAACCGATTCAGTGAAATTACTGAAGATCTGCATATAGCACTGAGCGTCCTTTGCAGCCACTGGTATGCAGATGATGTGAGCGCACGCGCACACACACGCCAATTAATTTGGGTGATGCTGGAAACCACATCAGAAATCTTCTCTCCTGGCTCTGGAAAAGGATGCTGGCCTTACTAATAAATCAGTTCCCTGGCTGCTGGCGCCTCTCCTCTTGTCAGCACCACAGGCCACCAGCTGCCTCACTCACATTCCTTCTATACCACTACGTCTCTCACTGGCGGGCAAATGGCACTAGAAAGTGCCCACTTAGCCAGAGCAGAGGCAACTAAATCTGTCAAGAAAAAATGCTTAAGTAAAAGCATATGTGAACAGTGAGGTGGGCAAATGAAAGACTTAAGCAACAGAAATGCCAGCTTGGGATATAAGAGGGTAATAGTCATATGGTGGTGCTAATAGCAGTCAAATACTTGGTGACTCCCATGCAATTGTCCACAGGTAACCTTGAGCTGTCAACAAGAATCCCACACACACTCTGAATTTATGGTCTGGCATTTCCATGTGAGGCCAAAATGAGCAGTACAATTATGGCAGTCCTTTTTCATACTGCTACTAATCCAATCTTTCTGCGGGTCCCATTGGTTCACAAAATGGCCCTGTGTGATTCTCTACCAAGACAGCTCTGGCCTCAGAAAGACAGGCAAGATGGAAGGGTAAGTTATCTGAATCAATCCTAAACTATAAAATAAAAAGGGCTTAGATTCCGGTAGGTAGCCGTGTTGGTCTGACGCAGTAGAAATATACCAAAAAATAAAAAGAAGTGTGCATGCACATGAAAGCTCATACCAAGAACAAACCTAGTTGGTCTCTAAGGTGCTACTGGACAATTTATTTTATTTTATTTTAATATAAAATGGCATGATCCCTTTACAATGTCACTGATTCAATGGGAGAAAGATTTAAATCAATGGGATTTTGTTGTGTTTAACTTTGGCTGGATTTTAAACGATAGTTGTTAAATAATAATTATGTTTTTTTAAAAATAGGAGAAGACCAAAAAATTAGGCTTGTCAAACTGGGTGACAGATGGGGGGGGGAACATTCTCAATATAAATAATATGAATCCACTGAAACAACAAACACAGCACAACCTTTTGTAATAGATTAAAGGAGTTTCTCAAATGAACTGCTGAAACAACAGCAAGATAAGCAAGACACACCTTCACTAAAGGCAGTCTTAAACCTAGTACTTTTTTGTTAAAAACAAACAAGTTCCCAAACTAGGACACCTGAACAGATTCCACAAAGAAAAGTCACATCATGAGAAAACAAAAGCAGTATCAAGCCCTTTAAAGTTGCAATGAAGATTGAAGTATTGTTTGATGGTACCATTGGCTAGGGATCTAACCATATTGTCAAACAGGTCTCCCAAGACAGAAACTGATTATTGTGCAGAATTTATCAGCCTTTAATTTTCCATTTCCTTTTTAACTAAAGCAAGGTTTTTATACTCCTAAATGAGCAGGTGTGGTCCAGGAACTACTTGTTTGTTGTTTATTTATTTTGTAAGAATTTCTCTAGCTTGCCCTTCATCATACAATCCCACTGCAGAGTATACTACAATAAAAACACCACAACAGTTCACACACAATCTATAAAGATAAAGCAAAAATGTGACACATAACATCTCCCTACTTTGAAGTAGCAACACTAATACTAATCTCCCACAAATTCCCAGGCAAACAAATGGGTCTCTACCCGGTTCTGGAATGAAAAAAAATGTCAGTTCCACTCATGCTTCTGGGAAACGGCGTTCTATAAACAGGGCCCCAATGCAGAGAAAATCCTATCCTTGTCAACACATAATGGACCTCTCCCAGTTGCGGAACAAGGAGAAGGGCCTCCCTCCCAGATCTAAAGACACTGGCAGGCTGAGACAGGGAGTGGCTGCTTCAGACATCTGGATCCTGAGTCATTTGGGGATTTATAGGTCAAGACTAGCACCCTGAAATCAGCCCAGAATCTGCATGCAAGGCAGCCAGTATAAATATAGCTCAGCTGGTTAGAGCGTGGTGCTGATAACACCAAGGTTGCAGGTTTGATCCCCGTTCTGGACAACTGCATATTCCTGCATTGCAAGGGGTTGGACTAGACAACCCTCAGAGTGCCTTCCAACCCTACAATTCTATGATTCCAGCTTGGCTACGCATGCAACTTTTAATTGGAAGATGCTGGAATATGGGAAAAAAGGGTACACATCACTATAATAGGCAGATATCAGATAAAGATCTGAAGGTGTCCCCCATACTACTAAGAGTGTCTCTCCAGAGGATTAAAGTAACCAGACAGATGAGGCATTTCCAAAGAAAACCTGGTCCCAAGTTGTTCAGGGCTTGAAATGGCAATAGCACAACCTTAAATTTGGTGGAGTAATGTATCGGCAGTCAGTGCATCTCTTTTAGCACAAACGTTACATGCTGCTGATAGGGCATCCCCTTCAACCACCTTGCTGAAGCATTTTACACTAGCTGTGCCTTCCAGGGGTTCATAGAGTGCATTGCAGTACTCCAGTCTAGAGGTTACCAATGCCTGGACTTCCATAAACAAGCTATTCCAATCTAGGAATGGCTATGGCTGCCACACCAACCTAAACTGGGAGAAAGAGCTCCTAAACACTCAAGCCTCTTATGCTTCCAGTGCTATTTACTGCAACAATTTATATACTGCATAAGACCATAGTGTCAGAAGCACCCCCAGGGTTCAAGAGGACACATAGCTGGGCACATTTTCAATGTCATCAGGCTGCATCAGCTGAATTTGATTCCACAAAGTTGTAATATTGGACATGTCATCAGGAGCTGTCATCAAGATAATTCTTAAGGTGAACAGCTTTATCTTTAAAGTGTTGTACAAACATGTTACAGTGGGCCTTTGAAGCATCCCGTGGTACGCCCAATTCCAACCCTTTGTATTACACTTGTATAGTAAGAGTCAATGAACCTTTTGCCCCACATACCCCAAAGATCAGGTGAGGGGATGGGAAGTCTTTGCCTCTTACCTTCCAAGAGATCTCTTTGCTACTAACTTCAGAGCAGGAAATGAGTTGGCTATCATTAGGGGAAGTCAAGAGGTAGGGGTTCTGATTTTCATTAAATAAATTCCTTTCCTTCTCCCCATAACCACCATTGCTCTAAACTTGCCTGCTTAGCTGCAGTACAGTCATACAAATGCCCTTTGCTTTTGGAATATCTGGCATTAGTGAGTCAGGTGAAACAAAACATACTGATCACACCCATACCCACAAATTCACTGATTCAAGCAGAGTCATATTCGATTACAAGACATACAGTGTGGATTTGTAAAAAAAAAAAATCTTCTACAGGAAAACAGAGACTCCTGAGATCGAGAAAATATAATCAGTCAATAAAAGTGCTGGTGCATATCTCCATACCACTCAACATCCTTTGCTTAGATGCAGCAAAGGTAATTAATTCAAATGTTTAATAGTATCACACATTGCAACACAGAATCGCAAAATGAGAGTTGGAAGGCACCCCGAGGGTCATCTAGTCCAACCTCCTGGGTCCCCACAATATTTTATTCAAGTTGGCACCCCTGTGTGAGCTCAAACCACCAACCTTCTGGTTAACAGCTGGATGCACTGACCCATTGCACCACAGGAGGAAACATACTTTTTGAAGAAGATCCTTATGCCAGGAGCATATCCATTTGCGAGGCAATTGTTCCCAATAAGCTGAACAGCTAACATCTGACATGAGTCAGCCATAGCAAAAGCATGGATGTTCACAGCCTCTCCCATCTTCATGAATGCCATAAAACTAAACAACAATGCGCCTTTGCCATTCAGTCACAAGATCCCTGTCATCCCGTTCCTAGATCTGCTTTAGACACAATCTGTCAGCTTGGGTTTTAATCCTTCTTTCAAAGAGGACTCAACTGAGAACAAACTCTTTGCAGTTCCCTAACTTTTCAAAAGGTGCTGACTCCTCACAATTTGTAATGGTTTCACCTTTGAAAATCAGGTCAAAGGATCAGGCAGCGTATCAGCAGCAGAGAATGAGTGGGGAGAATACAAAATCTTTGCGGGGAAATAAAATTATGAAATCTTGCCTTTGCAAACATTAACAGGAAAAGCTTTCATTCCTCCAGGGGACAGAAACTTGTGCAAGGATACACTGATGCACCTATTGTCCTAAGCAACAGTGCATATGGATTGACAAATAATAGCTGTGATTGATCAGCTGCCTTCCTTGCCAGCACCTGGCGCCTGGGAAAGCTGAGCGTAGCCTTTTTCTAACATCTAGGACCCATTTGGCACAAATAAGCCATGTCACAAGGCTGCTGTTATTGCTACCTTCCATAAGAAAAAGAAGGAAGACTTTAACCTAGTTAAGTCCAAATCACATTTACAGAACTGGGTGTGTCTGCTAGATTGACACCCGTGTCCTCCTATGTCTCCAAATATACAGTAGAAGCGCTAGGAAATCACATAGATGAACACAGCTCCTTGCACTTCTCTACCATGTCTCCTCTGGTGTTGGGGTGACTCATGTCTCCAAACATATTACTTGGGACTGGGGAATTGTTGCTGTTGTTGCTGCAGTTTCTTCCATTTTTATTATTGACCTTGTTGTGATTTATGTGGAAATTGTTTAGTTTGGTTGTGTATACTTTAATGTTTTATTCATTGTTTATTACTAGTTTTGTTATATTGTAGCTATGTATTCTTTTCATATTGTAAGCTGCCTTGAGCATGGTTTGAACTGTGGAAAGGCGGCATACAAACAAAATTAAGTATGTATATATGGTATACCTCTTCCAGCACTTCCTTTAAGGAATTTGGAACTGCTTCAACCACCATCCATATATTGGGAAAACAGCATATCTATTTAATTTAATAAGACATCTGTTGCATCCAAGCCATGCTAAGGTTAAGTATAAATCTCCAAATACAGAGTGTGCTAATGTTAGAAGAAAAACACAAAGCAAGCTTTCTCACTCCTTCCCGCCCAACTTTCAGCACCGTACACTCTAAATGTGTATATCTGACCTGGACCACTGAGAAGGAGGATGATGTAATTTGTAAAAACCACTTTTCAAGCTATTACTACATTTTCCACCTAATACTTCTCCATGAACTCACCCAGACAGTGACTCAATGGTTCAATAGCCCTATTCACAGAAGAAACAGGGCCAATACTTCATGCTTTAAACATCTGAAATTCACAGCAGCAATACAGATAAAAAAACGGCAAGTCTTATTTACCTGAGTCAAGAAATTTCATGTAACTTGCTGCTGCTGTTTCATGCCACAACAGTCCAGAATACAACACAACAACCTGCAGTAAAGAAGATTTCAAAAGAAGAACTACTATTGTCTTCTTTTAAAATGACATGCTTCATAGCTGGGCTAAACTGAGGTTGCAAGGAAGGGATCCAGAAAATCCCCACAAATTACCATTTGCTCAGGAGATTCATAGTGGGCTCTCATGCAAGCTTTAACCTGGTTCAACTAATGTTTTCCATGATGTGTCCCCTTATTATTTCATGAGATCCAAATCAGGTCACCTGATACTGCACACATCAAGGAGCTTGTAATGACATAATGGTTAGGCACAAGGGCAAAGCTCAAGTGACTTGTGATGTCACTAGGGTGCTGAGCTAGCTGACAAATGAAAGGAGGGTTTCCTTGAGCAAAATATTATGCCAGGGAGTAAACTTTCACATTTTAAAGCCCAGTTGATGCGGACCTGCTTGCAACATTTGCAAAGTGAACCTATTTCCACAATGGAAAACTCCACCTGGCATACGCTGTCAGTTAATCCCTTCGGAAGGGATCGGATATAAGAGCAGACTTCATAAATTCATCACCAGCGATGAAGCCGCTGACCACTTACACCCTACAGAAAAGTACAGTACTCAGCTACTTGACCACATATAGAATGGAAACTCAAGACATGTTATCAGCAACAAAATAACAACATTGCAGATGACCTGGATCCTCCCTTTCTCACTTTTGGTTGTCTCTGTGTTAAACTGAAAATAATTGCATGCTTTCCATTCTGATCCTGTGAATTTTTAATTAGAATTTAAAGTTCAATGGGACTTGGGCTGCAATTGAAAACACTATTTCAGAAGAATAATCCCCCCCCCCCCGCTAAACGCAATGGTTTATTTGTGAGTAAACAGGTTTGGATTGCATGACTACACACAAGTATGCATCGGATCAAAATCCTAGACCATCAGTTTTGGGTAGAAACGCCATAGAAAATTTGCAAAATGTGAAATTCAGGTCGAAATTCAGGTCCCAAAAGATTAATCAGCTGAGAATTTCCTCTATTTTCATGCTTCAGAATGTGAACAAGCCAGATGGCAACTGTATTCACAAGCTCAACCTAACATGCACAAATAAGGATGATGATGTCATAGTGTTGTGCATGTGGCTGACAATTGCACTAATCTATTGATGTTTCAGAATTGATACGACTATGGGGAAACCTGTGGCCCTCCAGATGTTGGCATACAGCTCTGACCATTCTCAATGATGTCTGGGGTTGATAGGATGTGTAGTTCAAAAACATTTGGAGGGCGACATAGGTTCCTTATCACTGTTTTAATATAATCTGAATATTCAGGCATGGAGAGAAGGAATCCTTTTCCTTCTTGTGGAATAGGAACAGTAAAAAAAATTTTTTTTTTACAAATATTAGCTTTAAGAACAGCTTTTCAATCCCTTTCCTCATGAACGTAATGTAGTGAAGTTCTACCAGACTATAAATATGCTGCATTGTAGAAGTGAATGTGTTTTCCATCTGCTCCTCAACGTGTTTCATTTAAATCAGAATTATTCACTTGTATCAGCTATTTATTTTACCCCTTAATAAAAAACACACACAGTTCTGATCTTTGTCTAAAATATGTGTTTGTGATACTATGGAAGGATATGCACATTACAGGCAACAACTGTTTTGCATGAGGGTTATGTTTCTGACCCCCATGTGCATTGGGGGAACTTGCTCTGCCCATTACACCCCACCCCAACCACCCCCTTTTCTGGTCACCTCTGGGTTGCTGTGATGCACGTGTGCACAGTTGC